GGTCTTGCTTAATAAAATTACAGTGAGTGCTAAAAGTACACCTTTTATCAAAAATTAAACCTAGTATTTTTAGAGTTTCTACATTTTCGATGTAATAATTATTAATATTTACATTGATTGAGTTGCAGTTTGTTTTTCTACAGGCGCGAAAGTGTTTACATTTTCTGAGGGAAATTATGGCTCCAGATTTTTGAGACCAAGTGTTTATATCGCTTAATACGTTTGTAAATGAACTGGATATAGTCCCACATTCTTTTTTGTTACATAATATATATAAGTCATCTGCGTATAAGCAGTGTTGTACATTTTTGTGTTTTTGTATAATTTGGCTCAGTTCTTCGAAAGCTATTAGAAATAATACCACTGAGAGAGGGGATCCTTGAGGGATACCGTTGTAGAGCGAAAATATTCCCGAATGAATATTGTTCACCCTACAACGTATTTTTCGATTTGATAAAAATGCTTTTACATAGTTGTATATTTTAGTCCCCACTCTCCATTCATAAAGCTTGTTTAGAATCATATGTATGCCAATCTTATGAAACGCTTTTTCAAAGTCTATTGATAAGATTGACAGGTGATTTTTTGTTGATAAATTTTTGCAAATTTAGTGGTCAATATAAAGAAGAGCGTTAGTCGTACTTGAACCACGTTTGAAACCCACTTGGTTAGGAGAAAGCAATTTGTATGTTGACATAAAGCACATAAATCGTTTAGCCACCATTTTCTCTAAGATTTTGCTGAGACATGGTAAAAGAGAAATCGGTCTGTAACTATCAATTAGTAAGGGGTCTTTGCTTGGTTTGCAAATTGGTATTATTGTAGCTATATTAAAATTTTGAGGAATTACTCCCCTATTAAATATCGCATTGTATAGTGAAAGAATCCTATACTTAAAAGCAAGTGGGCACATTTTTATCATTTGATAGTTTATTTTGTCAAAGCCTGGTGTGCTGCCTTTGAAATTGTTGAGGCATGAGTTAAACTCTTGGATGTTAAAGTCATGTTCTAGAAGTTTCGTTTTATTTGTAAGGTGATACGATATATGTTTTAAGAGTGTATTATTTTGTTCATTTCTGAATTGGGAAGGGAAATTAGAGGGGTCTGATTTACGTGAAAATTGGTCTGCAAATGTTTGTAATATTTCCGTAGAGTTGTAAATATGCTGATTATTTATTTTAAGTGTTTGAATGCTATAAGGTTTGTATTTTCCGGTGAGTGTACGTACCTTTTGCCATATATTGGCAGCTGTTACGGAGGGATTCAAGCTTTTAGTGAAAGTTTCGAAGGAAAAGGCTTTTGCCTTTTGTTTTTCTTTATTAAAAAAGGAGTTTTTTTCTTATATTCAATTAAAAGGTCGGTTGTTTTATATTTACAATATTGTTTCCAAGCAGCTTGTTTGCTATCGCGTAATTTTTTTAATTCGGAATTCCACCACGGAACGTTTCGGCAGGTATTTTTTCTGACGGACTTATGTATCGAAACGTTTGCAGATGAGCGAATAATTTTTTGAATTTGGGATCTTTCTACGTTTATATTTGAAGAGGGAGTAAACTGTAGGCCTAAGTTGAGAATTTCATTTTGATATTTTCCCCAGTTTGCTCTTTTGCAGTTGAATTTGACTGGTAGTGATCTAATTTGCTGACTATTGTTTGAAAAATTAAGTGATGTAGTTATTGGGTAGTGATCGCTGTTATGTAAATCTTCTAAGACAGTCCAGTTTGCTATAGGTAAGAATTGTGATGAGCAAAGTGTTAGGTCTATGTGGGTGAATGTTCCATGTGTGGAGAAGTGGGTGGGTTTTCCATTGTTAAGAACTGCTAAATTGGAGCTTAAAATGAAGTCCTCAATTATTTGGCCGCGAGTGTTACATTTATTCGAGCCCCAAATTGGGCTCCAACCATTAAAATCACCCAGCATTATTATTGGAGTACTAATATTGTTTATCAAATTAAGAAGATCTGAACAGTTAATATGTTCATCAGGTGGTATATACAAGGTGGCGCAAAAGTAACCTTGCGATGTTTTTTGGCTGTAATTTAAAAAAAAAATGAAAAACTTTGATTCTTCTTGTGGATTATTTTTATTTGGTCTTTTAATTTTTTTTACATCAAGTCGAGAATATGATGTCATGTAAATGGCCGCCGCCACAGTTGATTGCCATTTGAGCCCTTTTTATGGCATTTTCCATCACTTTGGCCAAAACTTCCGGCGATAGGTCCTCACATTCTTGACGGATATTGTCTTTAAGAGCTGCAAGAGTCTGAGGCTTGTGACATAAACCCGCGACTTCAAAAAGCCCCACAAAAAGAAGTCTGGAGCGGTCAAATCAGGCGATCTTGCTGGCCAGTGCAAATCGCCAAAACGGGAGATTAGGCGCCCGGGAAATGCATCCTTCAGCATATCGGTTGTGGCACGTGCAGTGTGTGCCGTTGCACCGTCCTGTTGGAACCACATGTTTTCCAATCCCAATTCATCAAGTTGCGGCAAAAAGAACTCGTTGATCATTGCTCTGTAGCGCTCACCATTCACAGTAACCGTTTGGCCCGCGACGTCTTCGAAGAAAAAAGGTCCGATGACTCCTCCAGCGAAAACAGCACACCATACAGTGACTTTGAGCGGGTGTAATGGCTCTTCGTGGGTTACACGCGGATTTTCAGTGCCCCAGAAGCGTAAATTTTGCTTATTTACGTACCCGCTAAGATGGAAATGGGCCTCATCACTCATGATTATTTTTGATGAAAAATCATCTTCCTCTTGGTGGTGATTAAGGATGGCTTGTAGCGTAACATTGTTTATTAACGTGTATTTCGCATGTGTTTACTACACAAATGTCAAAACAGAACTGACATTAGGGGCCAATCGCAAAATTTATAGCATTTTCTGATAGGAGGATTACTTTAGCGCCACCCTGTATATGCAAAAAATTTTAATTGGAAATGGTGCACTAATTTCTAGCGCAATAGCTTGTAAGTTAGTTTGAACACTGATTAGTTTGTGTGGTATGTTTTTGTTAACAAGAATACCAGCTCCTTGCTTAGATGTAATATTATTTGGGTGGTTTACGAAGTGACCTGAGAATTGTTTAGGCGTGTGTGGGTTAGCGTTATATTTTAAGTGTGTTTCCTGTAAACAAATTATGTGTGCTTGATAGGTTTTAGAAAGCATCTCAATTTCAGTGTAATTATTTAGATACCCTTTAATATTCCACTGGAGAATGTTAAGGACCATTGGACCATGGAAGATTGAAGGTTGCTGTTGCTTTTGCTGTGGTTTTGTGTAAGGTGTTTCTCGGCGATTGTGCGAGAGGTTAGAGTTTGACTTTGAGCAGTTTCAGAGGGTTGTCGCTGTGGGTTAATTGAGTTACTATTGATGTTGATGCTTAGGTTATGTTTTTGTGGATGATACTTTTCAGAGGTTGCGAGAGTGTTTGGAACGTGTACTTGGGTAGTTGGACAAGCTTGTTGTTTTATTATATTAGATATGGTGTTGTTGTTTGATAAAGTGGCGTGACTTTCTTCTTTGTTTTCTTGGTTTTTGTTGCTATTTATGAGTATTGTAGAGTAAGGTTGAGTATTGGGAACTATTGGATTTTGTTGTCGATATGTACGTCTGGCTTCGAATATGGTAAATTTTTTCATGGTTTTTATTTTCAGAATTTCTTTATGCTGAATGTATTTTGGGCAGTTACGGAAAGTGGAGGGGTGGGGTGCGAAACAATTAGCGCACATTTCGCGTGTGCAGGTGCTTGGGTCATGTGGGGGTAAATTACAGTTTGGACAAATCGGTGTATTTTTGCAATGATTAATTGTATGTCCCAAAAGCTGGCAATTCCTGCAGCGCATTTGGTTGGGGTAATATATCTGCACTTTGAGTTTGTACCATGCAACATCAATAGCTTGAGGTGTTTGATATAAATTGAATGTCAAAAGTATCAAGCCTGTTGGAATTAATTCGTCACCTTGCCTTTTCGTAAACTTGTATACTTGCGTAACGCCTTGGTCTTTTAAAGAGTCTAGAATTTCTGATTCGGATGTAGTAACTAAATTACGGTCGTATATTGTGCCTTTAGAAGAGTTCAATTTTTCATGCAGGGTAATTGAAACTTGGCAAAGACCGCCGAAATTTTTAGTTTTTACAAATTTATCAGCAACTTTTTCTGTTTTTGTTAGCACAATCATGTTTCCATCGCGCAGAATGCTTATGTCACTTATTTCAGTGCTAATTGAATCTAAAGCCTTTTTCTTTGCAAAAACGCTGAATTTTGATAAAGGCTTATCACTTTCAACTGATTTGATCATGACAAATTTGGGGCAGCACTTATTTTGTGATTTGGTTGGAAGGGATGGAAACATTTCGTTTGTGATGTCGGTGTTAATCTTCCTTTTTTTCTTAGACGTGGATGGAGGACTCCGGCCTAGTTCACTAAACCGGTTCCCTGGGTCGAGCCAGGGCTCATCATTCATGATGAATTATATCCAACTGAATGAATATGTATGTTTCTCACCACTTGAAAAGTATGCAGACAACAAACTGAAGGAAAAAAAAGTTAAGAAAATAAAGCACAAAAGCACAGACTACGAAACGCGAGTGAATTTAAGCAGAGAGCGGTCAAGAGCTGAACTGTTCTGTTTGCTAGTTAGTCGATGACTGTCGATCAAATTACAAGGCGAAATTACTTCATTTCAGCATGATTTGCTTATAAATTACAAATGAGCCGTAAATTACGATAATGTGAACAAGCTTTAATAAAATTAAAAAATTTGTTTTTACCATTTAAATACTGCATGTACAGACATCTGAACCCGCGACCCACACAATTAAAGTCGACATTTCTGCCTACTCGGCTACGGCAGTGAAAAGCTTTTTTGCTTTCATATTTTTTTATATGTGACAATGAAATCAGTCCACCTAATGTTGAAATCGTAGAGCTTTTTACTATTTAAATATTGACAACACAGAAACAGAAACAAATAATTTATCAAGAAAACACAGAAATGGGCGGTTAAAATATGTAGGTATGTACATACATATGTAATTTTATTTGCCACAAAAATTTATTTCATCTCGTCAAGCCTTTCGTCAATAAGTCAAAATAAGTGCAGTATTTTCAGTGAATGCTCCACATAAACGTAATTCTTCGCACTTCACAATTGCTCGTAAAAATTGAGGACCAAAAACCATCCCACCACGTACTCGCAAAACATATTCCTTAAATAATAGCTTGCTATGTAATTCAACATCCAAATTAGGTTCAGTCATATCGGTGTCATTGTTCCCACGAACATATTTGCCAATGATATTTGAACTACTTATGTTGCAGCTATTTTCATTTTTCATAATTTTATGGAAATTTTGCCTTACTTCTGCTAGTGAAATGCTGTCTGGATAATCTAAAATTTGCTCCAAACATTTATATTGATAAAATAGGGTTTCCAACTGGAAATGGAATATGTAAAATAAATTCAAAATATTCAAGTAAGGAAAATGTATAAGGCATCAATCGGAAAAGGTACAGGTTTTTGCATAAAAATAATATCTGCATTGGTACGGAGCGGCTCCAGTTTATAGGAAAAATATGCATTTACATAAATATCCGATGTCTAATAACTACACAGGTCTAAATCAAAAGAAGGCAATAAAATAATTCATACCTCATGGATTGAATATACGCTTTTTACCACGTTTATATTAACTCTCTTTCTTGTGTCTGGTAGTTATTTTGCAAATGATTTTTAGCTAACTTCCCATTGATCTAGAGAGTTGAAATTTTAAGCGTAGGCCATATGGGAAAATCTCTGGCATCGTGTGATTCAAAATGGAAAAACTCGTAAATTTTTAAACTGAACGCACACAAATAAATTAAACATACATCAAGTTGTTTGAAATCCTTTGAGGAAACAATAAATTCTTGTGTGATTCTTCTTCTTCTTATTTGGCGCTGTAACCGCCTAAGCGATTTTGGCCGAGTTCAACAAAGCACGCCAGTCGTTTCTCTTCTGTGCCATTGTGCGTTCAGTTTAAAAATTTACGAGTTTTCCATTTTGAATCACACGATGCCAGAGATTTTCCCATATGGCCTACGCTTAAAATTTCAACTCTCTAGATCAATGGGAAGTTAGCTAAAAATCATTTGCAAAATAACTACCAGACACAAGAAAGAGAGTTAATATAAACGTGGTAAAAAGCGTATATTCAATCCATGAGGTATGAATTATTTTATTGCCTTCTTTTGATTTAGACCTGTGTAGTTATTAGACATCGGATATTTATGTAAATGCATATTTTTCCTATAAACTGGAGCCGCTCCGTACCAATGCAGATATTATTTTTATGCAAAAACCTGTACCTTTTCCGATTGATGCCTTATACATTTTCCTTACTTGAATATTTTGAATTTATTTTACATATTCCATTTCCAGTTGGAAACCCCATTTTATCAATATAAATGTTTGGAGCAAATTTTAGATTATCCAGACAGCATTTCACTAGCAGAAGTAAGGCAAAATTTCCATCAAATTATGAAAAATGAAAATAGCTGTAACATAAGTAGTTCAAATATCATTGGCAAATATGTTCGTGGGAACAATGACACCGATATGACTGAACCTAATTTGGATGTTGAATTACATAGCAAGCTATTATTTAAGGAATATGTTTTGCGAGTACGTGGTGGGATGGTTTTTGGTCCTCAATTTTTACGAGCAATTGTGAAGTGCGAAGAATTACGTTTATGTGGAGCATTCACTGAAAATACTGCACTTATTTTGACTTATTGACGAAAGGCTTGACGAGATGAAATAAATTTTTGTGGCAAATAAAATTACATATGTATGTACATACCTAC